TATTGGCAAGATGATCCAGCTTCTCCTGATGGTTAGCCTCTTTTCTGGCTTGTTTCGTTCACCCTTCCTACACGGAAGTTTTTCAGTGCAAATAGTATATTTCCATCATTGGTTTCTGGGTCCAGGGTTTTCCCCACATCAACCCAGAGTCTGTTCAGTAGAGTCTAAGTGTGCATTCTCTATATGAAACCATTCTACATATGTGTTGTTCCTTCCTCTTGTGGCCCTTGTCTGTCCAGTTGAGTCGAGGTGTGCACACTCTAACCAAGTCCCAATGGTCTGAATATTGTGCCCTCCTCTTGCAGCTGGAGTCTGTCTTGTTGAGCTGGAGTGAGCACACAAGATACAGTCTGAATGCACCCCAATCAAACTACACATGTTGGCTCTTATCCCACTTGCATGCAAGTACTTGGACGGTCATGTTCTTATTCTGCCTATCTATGGAACATGTGGGGTTCTTTTGCCACTTCCTTCCTTACATTTTGTGCAGAGAGTTTACCCTGGATGAGATGTGTGCCCCTATAGAGCCCCTGGTATCGGGTGTAACACTCCAAGAGTTTCCTTTAGGTGCTTTCTGAAGGTAGCTCATCTAGCTAAAATGTGTAAAGAGGTGAAGTATCATCTCGGAATTTAACATTTTCCTCACCTAAAAATGTACTTCTGATAGCTACTCACCTCTTTACACATTTCCACCCATCCTCCCCAATTCTGGTACACCTTTGTTTTCCTTGACTTATTGAAGATTTCTGAGTGCAAGCGCATAGGTGGAGTTATTGCACATGGAAGTGTGTTGTTCTCCTATTGGTGGAGGGCTTTTATCTCATGATGACATTATCATGCAGTCGCACAATTCATGCAAAATCTTGTGAAATTAGGTGAGAATTGTCTATAGGCTAGTGACATGCAAATCTCTTAGGCAGACACATGGGAAAGATAGCTAAACTGTGTGCAGAAGTATCTATCAGAAAGACATTTTCAGGTAAGAAAAATGTTAACTTCTAAGTATTTCATGCTTTTAACATAATGCCATTTTGTAACAAGTATCACTTATGTCCCTTTTTACAGAAACTTGATTCGTATGTGGCTAGAGCATTATGTACGTTTCTTTCTTGCATCTTGCACTAATTCCAGTATATATGGTCCAGCACATTACCAAGACCAGAGCTCAACTTTAGCTACAGTTAACTCAGGTTAAAGGGTAAAAACATACAAAGTTAATAAAAAAAAAGGTGACAACTTTTCCTTCACTTCTGAAAACATTAAACATATGGCATTGACTTGCTGAGTGGCAAACACAAACTAACTGTGTCTATAAATATAGAACAAATCAGAGTAATGTACATATAATTGAAAGTTGATATATAAAATCAAACTTATTGCAATGCAAATAAATTATATCTAGGCGATGAGTTCATTAAGTATACATTGAACAACTTGTCTAATATTAAAGGTATAAGAAGATTATACTTTAGTGCAGTTACAGTTGATAGGAAGGCTATGTTTACTTTCTAAACAGACAGTGTAAGCATATTCCATCTTAAACTACTTCATAATTTTTTAATCTTTGAGAATTTTCAGACATGTTAGTTCTAATGCTCTTGTACCTAAAATTTAAATAATGATACTATAATAAGTGAATATGAACAATTTATTTAAGTGTTCTGAGAGAAATTGTTAAAGTGAAATAAACAGAAAGATTAAATACTAGGATCAGAAATTTGATTAATGCAACTTTGCTAATTTAACTTCATATGTTGTTTTAAATATTTCTAAACATTGTAGTAAAATATGAATGCTCACATTTCTTAAACCATTATTTATATGTCTTACTTATTATACAAGTGTTTTAGCCTGAAAAATGTTCTGGTCGCATGAAGAATGTTCTCAGTATGGATTTCCATGCGCCAGCATATGGAGCAGACTAAAAATATATAAAAAAAAACTTAGTTTTGCATTGATCCAATTATACTTTTTTCTTTAGAATGTAGTTCTTCAGTTAAAATAATATTTTGAAAACTTTTTGTTTTATATCAACTAATTAAACAAATGTAAAGTTAAAATAGTAGGTGTCTATTTTTTTTATAAAATCTTTACGAGAATTAGTTTGACCATGATTTAAAACCAGAGCTTCTACTTGGTATCCATCTAAATGATGACTTTTTTGCTAAATATTTATGCTGTGTATTTAAGATAGCATTTATTGTTTTGCTTATCCATTTTCTAGTGGTTATGTAAATTAAGAGCTTGCAAATTTTTGGGACAATGAAATCAGATTTTTTGCTTACTAAAAATCTAATTTTTTCTTCTTAATATTAAGGTATCTGACTGTTAAAATTCAGGATGGAGATGCACACAGTATAATGTGTCCTGCATATAAGTGTCCTCACCTTGTGCCAGTAGATGTCATAGAGAAATTAGTTTCTCCAGAAATGGTTCGTCGATACCTACAATTTGATATAGAGGTAAAATTTTCTAATGGTACTTTTATATTGGTGCTGTAATAGTTTGCTGAAATGCCTTTAAACTACATACAATGCTTGCTGAATGATGGGATATAAATTAATAGCACTATAGGTTGTAGTGTGTTTATGACTTCAGTTAGTTAATCTAACTGCTCCAATCTAATTTACTTAGAGTCCACTTATAAGACAAGTGCTGACTGTATGATAGATTGGAATAAGTTTGATTCCAATATAGACATAGCCATTTACCTAGAATCCACTTATAAGACAAACACTGACTGTATGATAAATAGGAGTAAGTTTGATTCCAACATAGACATAGCCATTTACCTAGAATCCACTTATAAGACAAACACTGACTGTATGATAAATAGGAGTAAGTTTGATTCCAACATAGACATAGCCATTTACCTAGAATCCACTTATAAGACAAACACTGACTGTATGATAAATAGGAATAAGTTTGATTCCAACATAGACATAGCCATTTACCTAGAATCCACTTATAAGACAAATACTGACTGTATGATAGATAGGAATAAGTTTGATTCCAACATAGACATAGCCATAGTATGTCAATAAAGTAAAAATACGAATCAGAGCTGGTTCAAGTTGTTAACTGGTTCAGTTATGCTAATGAACTATGTAGCGACCAGATGTTATCTATTGTTTATATGAAAAGAAAGATTAACTCTCCTTTAAGAAATGTGGCATTTTAAGGGAATAAATTAAAAAAAAGTCATCACAACATGATTCTTTAAGTTCTTGAGACATAAATTATGGAATTTTGCTGAGTATCTGAAGTTTCAAAACTGGAGCTCAAGGAAAATATTTTGTTAGGTCTCTTGGCATTTGTCTGTTAACTGTGATGTTATTATGATATGTATCCTTACTATTTTCAACTGAAACATACATTTCAATTCCAACCACAACTATATATTGATATGGCAATGTATAGTACTATGAATTAGTTACTTCATAATACACAGTGTAGACAAGGGATAGTCCTTTATAATAATGAAAAGGTATATTTCTATGAAAAGTATAGCCGACTCAATATGACGTTGCCAGTATGTGTTTAATGATAAAATTATGCAGGAAGTAATTAAATTATTGAAGGACACTTCTCTTGACATTTGGAGATTATAATTGTGTTTATACAATTCAGCATTACATAATATGAGAAGTTAACAAGTGAAGAATATAATATTCTCTGCATATATATTTATTATATATATATATCTCAAATTATGGTCTTATAATAGCTTCTGGCCCAAGTCACAGTGAAGCCCAACTTGTTGATATGATGTGATAAAAAAACATTGTATTAGAAAAATCTAAATATTTCTTTAATTGGATGAAAAATGCAAAGTTTTTAATAAACAGGGAAGAGAAAACAAAATGTGACTGCCCTAACTCAATGGACAAAGCATTGTGATAACTGTATGTTGCCAGTGTCTTCTGGTTGAAAACAAAGTCTGGATATTAATTATTGTTTAAGTTAACTATGAATTTTACTTTGTACTCATTAAATATATTGAAATATCAGCAATACAAGATATTTCCAGTGACAAAAACAACTTAAATTAATTGTGTTAGTTCACAAGAATTGTTTTG